ATGCGTGTACTAGTCCCAGCGGGTTGGCATGGTGACCGTGACCCGAGTGCTTCGTCCAGGGCCCTTCAGAGGCTATGCCCGTCTCCCACCAGCTTGCTGCCCAGGAAGAATGTCGACTCTCAAGGTTGAGCGCTCGCGACACCTCACATCGAGAGGACTCTCAAGACAAAACTCACTTCCTCACGGTAAGAAGAGATGAAGAGGGTAGATAAGGAAGATAGCAACGTACCTCATAAATGCTGCCCCCAACCACGAATTTCTCACCGGTAACCTGATGTGCAATTATGATGACCGGTCCTTGCCTCAGCACAACCAACAACAAAATGCGGTTCCACCTCGGCTTAATATGTCACATTAGCGAGTTCTCATCATCCAGCATACACCCCGTATGTCACCACATAGCTCCCTGGCGTGCCCACTCTACCCTGGGCCGCCTGATGTTCAACGCCAATGCCTTATCACTGCCCCACACCTCATGCGAAGCACCAATGGCTATTGCGAAGAACCAATGAAGCGCAATATGAGCCAGCTTTGATACCAAATTGCAAGGAAAATAAGTAACAGCGAGATGACAATTCCAGATCACACCATCACATTGAAAGCCAAATAGTCACACCGTGTCTAGAGAGCAGCATTGCACCAATAATACACCAATGGAGGTTCGTAGCACTGAAAACCAATGTTCATGGAGAGCATACTCTCTCCTTCCTACACAGCTACTACAGACTACAAAAAGACAATGCAACTGATGACATCAGCGGGAGCCCGAAGTACTTGAAGATGTCGCCCATGCAAACCATCGCCAATACAAGGTATGTGCCCTCACATCATCATCATCATCATCATCCTTCACCTATCCCCTGACTACACCCACGTCTGTCCTTTGTTTCACTCGAAGACCACCCCTGCGCTTCCCTATGGTCCAAGCCCACCAGCTATGGTGGCTGGGCTATGGCGCTGCCCTCAGCAGCGCCCTCCTCTGCACGACCGCACGTGTTGCACCTCTCCTCTCGGCGCCAGCCAGCAACCGCGAGCCTTTGCTCCAGCAGCACTGCCGCTAGCATGCGAGTGCCTGAATGAGGCAGCCAGGGCCGAGCTCTTTCCTTTATGGAAAGAGTTGGCCTGCTCACGTAGCCGGGCTGCCCTGGCCTCGGCCCAGAAGCTTCCGGAAGGCCCCGGGAGGCTGCCTGGATGCAGCAGCTACTAGGCTGCTGGGCCTCGTTCGGTTGGGCGCCCAACTGTCTCTGTATGAGGCTGCGAATCACGCCCAGGGCCTGCATTCTTTGGAAAGGCCCGGTAGGCCGTGGAAATGTTTTTGTTGCTTGGCCTGTGTTTCTTTCAACCAACTGGCGCGTCGCAACTGCCTAGACCCCAAATATGAAATTGACAGTCGAGGGCCTCTTGCAAAAAGCCAGGGCGGGCATCGCCGCCTTCACGTAGGGCGGGTAAGGCTGCAAACAGGGCCCCATAGGCCTACCGAGGACCCTGATCCTCGCAGAAGGAAGTTGACACAGGAAATGTTAAGAATGTTTTTTTGTCCATTCTCTCCTCTTTCTTTTCTCTCATGCTCTTCTTTGATGAGGCTACACTCTTGAATTGTGCATATGATATAGACATGGACTTGTATTTGCTTTTGGAAACTTCATGAGGCGCGTTGGGTTCATAGTTCTATTGCATTGCTGGCTGGCTTCTGAACAAGATTGGGTTTATTACACATCTCTTCATCTCTAGCTCCATTGTTACTTCCCTTTTCAATTCTCTCATCTACTCATCCTTCTATTGTATGTAAACTACCAGTGAACACCCATTATCCTAAACTTCTCCCTAACCCAAGTGGGGCAGGTTTCCATCATAGTGTTGGTGCAAGAGCCAAGCTCTACAAGCCCGTCATCACGCTGATGTGGGGAGCGGCGGACTTTGCCAGGGTGGGGGGACACCAGCAGCGTTAGTGCCATGGACTGTGGTCAGTTGCTGCACCTTGTCTTTGTCGGGATGGCGGTCCGTCAATATCAAGACGAAGGGATGGGGATGAGGGAGATGGCGATGGAGGTGTAAGGGACAACGCATTTTCGGCGCAGATTCAACGCACACACATTCCAAATTGTGCAAATGAAGAATGATTGAAAATACAAACTGTACCTGGGGTATTACCGTAGCGGACTGACTGGACTAAACTCGACTGGTACCGACTGTGGTATTGGAAAGGACAGGACCAAATACGCACACGGCCTGTGGAGTCGGATCAACCGCCTGGTCCCATAGGCCAAACAGACAATACCCGAATAGGCCTGGTCGTAGGCCCAAGGCAGATGGAGGCCTACTGCATGATCCTCAAACCTGTAGTGGATCGCAAGAGCTATAAACATGCTTCGGCAAAAGCAGCCGAACTCTGCAACAATAAAGGAAAGAAATCTAGGATGCAAAGGAAGCTCCATGTGGAGTCCATGCGATGCATTTTGAGCTACATCGTAAACAAAAGCAAATGTCTGATATACACATACTAGCTAGAAGCAGGAAATGGAATGTAGCATGATACAATCCTAAGGTCCTGGAGGCAACCGCCTCAATGCTGAAAGGAAAATATAGCAATATAGGAGAAGATACTGTCGTGTCGGTGAACCACTAAGAGCGGGATGGTCTCAGAGGAGGTGAATGCAGCCTAAGAATTAGAAATCCTAGGAGCAGTCGTGCACAAAGGTGGGATAGGTCATCAGGCTAAGGGAGAGAAGGTTAACGGAGACCCTAATTTTCAGACCACTTGCCATGCCATTTATAAGAAAACCCATGGGTCATTTTAATCAAACTTGCCACCAATTCGTAGAGTGGAGACCATACTAAGTGCAAAAAAAAATCCAAAAAAATATAATAAAAAACATATAAAACAGCAAGGCAAACGTCCATTTTCATGAAATTTCGTCACCATTTCAATTTAAGAAATCTTAATAGAGGAAATTCCAATTCTCCAAATGACACAAAATTTGGCACACCAACCTTGAACCAAAACAAGAACAGGCCAAAAATAAAAATTAAAAAAACATTAAATTTGACCCCGAAACCCTATTTGGTAATGAAACAAACCAATGGCCCTAACAGATAAACCATCAAGGTGGGTAATGCTCGATAAAGGTGTGACACCATGCGGGTTCGACCAAGGAAAGGGAGCTTTGAATAGGAGGGGATATGCCTAAATGAAGGCATGCAATGGTCGACACTAGGGTGATGAGGGTAGTGGGTGAGGGAAACATGCATACAACTCACCGACTGGGAGGGAGCCAGATCTGAGAGCATGGAAGCCAAGATAATACTACGGTCCCAATGCCTGTACGATACCAAGGGAGAAACCAACTTTTGGAGAACCAGCTTAGTGAGAACCATCATGCAACACAAAAGGAAATGTACAAGGTAGGGTGGTGGCATGAAGTAGTCAGGTCCAAAGGACCCGAAACTGATGAAGTAGTTGAAGTCCTCGAAGTAGTCGATGATCTCGATTGAATGAGTCGAGGTCGATGTCGAGGCAAAGCCGCAAAACGTTGACCTCCTAAAGTAGAGTTGATGATGGAGTACCTGTTGGTGTGAGTCTTTGTGAAGATGGTAGGTGATAGAAGTGTTAGTTCTCAACTACGAGTGCACTGTGTACGCGCGGAGGCGTCCATCTGCTGTTTAGGGACGACCTAAGATGGAACGGCCTCGTCCTCAGCAATCTCCTCAGCCGGTAGGGTCAGTCGGCCGAGGAAGAGCGCGGACGTCTGAGCACGCGAGCACGGTCGTACGCTCGCACCAACATCGTGGCGTGCTGTGGGGTATTGAGGGGCTTCTAGCCCAGGATATTCATTCCAATGCACAAGATAATCGATGCGTGAGGGGTATTGTCGGTAACTCGGCGAGATACGATGTCGGAAACGACAAACTCCTTGTGACTGTCCACCATGATAGGTGGAGGGCGCTCGTAAGGGTGTCCGACGAATCGCTCGGACGGTCTGCGATAAAGACGCAGCAAGGAGACATGGTAAACATTGTGTACGCGAGCCTGTCTAAGACAATCAGGCAGCTTTGAGTCTTCCACTGTGCTTCATCGTGCCCTTTTTGGTTGTATATGGATGTACATTGCTTGTTGATGCTTCGCGGATGCTGGATTGTCCATTCGAGTCCTTATCAGCACTTTGTTGATCCTTTGGATCCATTGGATCACTCGGATTGTACCAAGTATGCATCAACAGTGTTTGCTTCGTGAATTGAAGGATGCGGCATTGTCCATTTGAATTATCATCACTTTGCTGATCCTTTGGATCCATTGCATCACTCGGATTGTACAGAGTATGCATCGAGAGTGTCCGCTTCTTGAATTGAAGGCTCCATACCATGTCCAATCAATATGTCATTTGTCCCAATCTTCTTTTACTTGGACAAATGACCTCGTGTGATCATGTTCCTTGAAATGTCGTCTGATGGCTATGATCAGACCATGGTCGCTGTAAAGGCCGTCTGATGGTCGAGAACCATAGGGACAAATGACAGATTAATTGGACATGGTCACTGTATGCTGGTCCAGAGTACTGGGGGGTATGACTGAAGCACAAGCCTTATCCAGATGCCCAGGCATTGTTTTATAAATTTATAACCACTATTGCTCTGTCATGGTTGTACACACTTACTACAAACTTACAAAGTGCTTGCAGGTGTGTCGGAGAGGACAGCCTGTGGAAGGGTCGAGGCGAAGGCAAGCAGATGCATGGTCCTGTTGCTTTAAAGAGTGGTTGTTGCATCCTTGTTTCCCCGCAGTGATTTGCATGAACGTTCATGTCTCCGGTGGTCTGAATTGATCTCGGTCAGACTCGCCTATTTCTGTTGGCATGTTCTTGACTCAATGAATCAATGGGTTGAACGAGTTATAAGGGGGCAGCTTTCTTTTTTTGGTTTGGTGTATTACTTGTCCTAGGTGGTTGATTTAAGAGGTCAATTGGCTGTTTCTTTGAATGTGGTGGAGGACACTTCTGTTACAGGCCGGAGCTCTTCCCTTCGTTGATTCAGAAGCTGCAATCCTCAGATGTCCTACTCACAGAACGAGTTTACATGGTACTGAATCAACTCCTGAAGGAACTTTCAACGAAACGGTTGGCAGCGGATCAGAAGAATTTTGCAGAGGTATGCACTCATTTTACTCAGTTTGGTCTTCTTCTGGTTAACAATGTGTTGTTTGTAAGCTTAGGTCGAAGCTTTTCATGGTGTGCATTCCACCCAGTAATCAAAGGAGTATTGATTTTTCACAGATGGATCATGCATGATGTCCTGGTAGCATGCAGATGACAGGTGAACTGAAGGAAAAAAACACCATGAATTTAGAGGTATGAACCATCAGTTTCAGCCTTTTTTAATAGCGGCTGTATGATTCGTAAGAGAGGAAGCCAGATGACCACATTGCTGCTATGCTCTAACATTATGGCATTGAGGTAAGACTGACAGTCCATGCATAGGCTACGGTGTATAGGGATGTTTGAGAGATCAGTATGTATAGGAAGCAACACTCAGGCAAAGAGATGGAATGCAGAAGATGGAGAGCATTGAGATTTAGAAGTACAAACGGAGATGGGCTGGAGACCCAAACAAAGAAAATTACGTACCTATGATAAAATAGCTTGGCACTATCCCTACATCACTTAAATCGCTAAGGGCTGTGGTTGGTCCTACTGGCCCATGGCCTGGATAATTGGAAGCATGGAATCCGTGCCATCGGGTCCTACTGGATCAACGGGCCGGATTGTTGCTTTGATGTAGTGAAATTCCAATCTGGGCCATTGGGTCCTTCCGGACCAATGGTGGATCGGGGCAAGGTCTTAAGATATTAAAATCCCACGCCAATCCAGGCTGTTCACCTGGTACCTCGGGCCCAATCGTTTGGACGGATGTAGAGTCGGCCTACCGTACCAGTAGGTCTTACAGCCACAGGCCTGCTAAATGGTACCAGGAGGCCCTACCCGCAGGCCTACCACCACCCTCCTATACAGTACTGGTAGCCTGTTCGACCTCACGGCCGCCACCACTGTGGGTGTGTGTGTGTGCGTGTGTGTGCTTGTGTTTTGTGTGTGTGCGTGTTTGTGATCCCTCGCCCTACTGTGTGTGTGTGTGTGTGTGTGTGTGTGTGTGTGTGTTTTGTGCATGCGTGTTTGTGTGCTTGTGTGGGTGCATGTTTGTGTGTTGGTTGCACATGCAGGCATGAATGCGCGTGCGTGAGTGTGAGGTGTGTGCAACTTGCCACACACACACACACACACCATGTGGCAGCTGGCAACCTTCATCAACGTGGCCAGCCTTGTACGTGATAGGCACAGTAAGAAGGTAACTACAAAAACAAAGAAAATGGGAGGCCTCCCAATGCTAGCTGATGAAATTTATTGTCGTACTAGGCTACCAGCGTGGCCCGGGGTCACTTTCTCGGCCGGGCCAAAAAGATAAATAAATAAAAATGAAATTTAAATTTTATTCTAAATCTGGTGAAGAATTTCGATGTGACCCTGAGGCAAAAGTTGTTCAGTTTATTCTTCTGCATAACATAGTTTTGTTTCGGTTTTTTTTTTTTTTTTTTTTTGCTAGGACCTTCCCTGGTCCTTGCACGGGCTGGCCACCCGGGTCCCGGGAGGCCCGGCTGGTAGCCTAGCTCTGGTATTGTTTTTACTGCTGGTTCGGCCCATCTCAAGTGTGTTGCATTGCTTGTGTAAAGGTGAGATTCCTTGCTTGTTTAAAGGTAAGGTTCTGAATAAATATTGACTTCACAAGTAAAACTGTTTCATTGGTGGATCGGCTGATCTTGAGAATGCTTCATTGTCTGCAATACAGGAAAAGTTGCTATGGCTTTGGATCTACTCATCTGGGTGGAATAGGGGAAGTCGTGGTGATATTTTATAACACACACGCCAGCATCCTACCAATACGGGGGTGGCAGCGGAAAGTATACCGCTTCCACCACCACCACCACCACTGCCACCACCACCACCACCGCCACCACCATCATCACCACCATCGCCCCCTCCTCTTCCACCACCACCCCCACTGGCCCTACCACCACCGCCACTGCCTCCTTCACTTTCACCATCATCGTCATCACCACCACAACCATCATTACCACCACTCCCCCACGACATCTGCTACTACAACGCCTCAGTCGTCTCCCTCCTCTACTTCCTCTTCTCCCTCTTTCCCCTCCGCCACCTCACAGGCCTCCTCTTCGTCATCGACTTGAGGATCATCATCACCATCATCATTCATGATCGGATCAGCCACACCAGCGGACGCATCCGTCGTTAGATTGACCGTTGCAGATGCCTCTTCAGCGGGCAGGTTCCCCGTCTTCACCCCCGCCTCCAAGACATCCGCCTCGTTTATCCTTGAACAACATAATCACAGAGCCTTGTGTAGGGATTAGAGATCTGCTCCGCCAGCATGCTCACAACCGTACGGACCGACCTTGTCCCCTTCAATACATGCTAGCCAGGAATAGTGCATGTCGAGTTCTATGCCCACAATGTGGCGATGTTATCTTCAGTGCTGCAGGCCTGCATGTGCACTTGACACGATGTGCAGCTACTTGTGAAGCGTTTGCATGAGTAGCAGCCACTCTGAGCACAAGTGCGGGTGATCAGCTTCCGTTTCCCGCATCTGGTCCACCCATTTCTCGCCCGCCTGACGCACCCCTCTCTCATCCACCTAGCCCTGCTTGCTCCCGTGCCCCAAATGACAATCACCCGTCTTCTGATTACCTGATGGAGCGGCGGACTGAAGATGATCTCTCTCCGGAGTGCATACTAGAGCCAATGGACCTAATACAGCCGGTGGCACCTATGATATGACCCTGGCCAATTTCGGAAGTACAAATTCATGAGAAAGCATAGTGCCGTCGAATTGCAAAAAGAAATGAATGAACTTGTGATGAGAGAGAGGGAAAGAAGAAGAAGAAAATGTACACCAGCAAAGACCAATGATAAGTCCCTTCTCCTCGCCACCCAATCTCCTCCTCCTTTTCTCCTCCCCTCTTATTCAAACAATAAATAATAATAATGATGATGAATGGCAGAACCAGAATCAATGTCTGAATCCCTGTTCTACTGCAGGCACAACATGAGGTCCACCATAGCCATGGCCACCCTTCTCCTTCCTCTTCATGAAGGCCGAGTCTATGGCGGACTACTAGGGCCTTTCCCTGATGTGCAAAAGAGAACTCAAAGCAGCTATGGCTGCTCCTGCTCAGGCCGCCATGCCTGACTCTTGCCTCGAAGCGTCTTGATGTAGCTTTACCCTCAATGGGGCCTTCCAGATGCAGTGCCCACAAAGGTGATTAAGATGGCGTCCACCATAGCCTGGTAAGTACCTCTGGTGCTCCCCCTTCCTAGCCCACCAAGGTGATGAAGATGGCGTCCACCATAGCCAGGAAGTCACCATAGCCAGGTAAGTACATCTGCCTCCTCCCCCAGCCCGAGCTTCACCATCATGGCTACGGTGGGGAGCTGGGGCTCCTCTTTCCCACACAGCGCTGCACACTAGCGATGTTCCTCCAGCGCTCCAGCCGCATGACTTCCAAACTTGCATGCTGCAAATGAGGAAGAGCACTTTGATGCTCCTGGAGATATAGCGGCCTTCTTGCCTCTTGGGCGGTGACTTCCAGGCCGCACGGCCTCCAAGCAACCGGTACCTCCTCTCTTTCGGAGGGAAACATCATTGCAGACTCTGATATTGCCTGTACAGGCCCTAGACTCGGACTACTTGGACTTGTACCCGCCTAGACCTTGCCTACAACTACTGGGCCTCTAAAAATGCCAACTTTCGTCTTCCTCTTCTCGGCCTCTAGTATCCAACACATCTACCACTACTTGGTGTGGTACCAGCCTACCCGCTACTTGAGTGTTTTTCCCTGCTGTCGTGGGCCTATTCCCGCCACTTTGGCGTTTTCCCTGCTGCAATCCTCAATGTCACGGCCACAGGTAAGTACCGGCCCTACGGGCCTTCACAAGCAAGCAAGTACCCTTGCGGGTCACACTCACTCAAGTCGTCAAGCACTCAGATAGGCACGCCGACCAGCAAGCACGCACACATGTTATGCACCTGGTTGTTTGTTGTCTGAAGACCAACACTCGCTCGCATAGACTTCCAGGTATGCCCATACATACACAGAAGGAAGGGGAGAGGATGGGAGTATCACACCGCACAGAGAGAGGTAAACACACCGGAAGACTTGACCATGCGATATGACAGAAAACACTGCGGTATAGCAGGATTTCAACCTGCAATCTGCTAATAAGTGCAATTCGCTCCATAGAATCCTCACAACCAGTCACAAAGGCAAGCTGAGTAGATCACATCCAGGAAACAATGAAGAAGTGATAGTTTACACACAGTATAAACACTGTTTATTAAACTCAGAATCTTGAAATGTCAGGATGACCCGAGAACCATGGTGCGCTGCTCAAAATTGAGCAGTGCTTAACTCCCCAACCCTGAATAACCGCTAGAACCACCCCTGAGTCCCTGAAACATCAAGTGCCACCCTGTAACGGGCCTCTGAGGCCAAGCGCCTCTCAGAGGATGAAGAAGAAGACCAGCACCACAGTGTCTGATGATGATGAAGTGCCAGAGGACTTCCGAGGTAGAAGTCTGTAGCAGCACCACCTCTCCTGACAAAGATGCTCTCTGAGGAAAAAAGCTGCAGCTATGGCTGCAGTGCCAAACACCCTGAAACCCTACTCCTGAGGAGGGTCCAGCAGGGCACCAACTTCTCTCGCTTCCAGCAGACTTCAGGTAGCCCGGACCTCTGAACAGCCCCGAGTGCTGTCAGAGTACAGCGCCGGTGCCAGCTATGGCCGACACTTCGCAGGTCCAGGTATGTCTATCTTCTCCAACGCTGAAGCTGTCACCACTTCAGTTCAGCGCCGGTGCCAGCTATGGCCGACACTTCGCAGGTCGAGCTATGTCTGTCTTCTACAACGCTGAAGCTGTCACCACTTCAGTTCATGTGTTGCACAGCAGCGACGAGCACGATACCAACTGCCAAAAGCCCCCGAACTGATTTCTACCATCTATCTATAGAACTGTCCTACCCTAGCCTAGACCTAGACCGGACTGACTGGGCCGACTGGTACCGTTTCAGTTTTGGCCTC